CATTGCAATACACTGCTCGAATCGCTCCAACTTCAATAGGATCTCCAAGAGACGTCCCTGTGCCATGCGACTCCAACACGGATACATCTGCTGGCGATTGCACTTGGGCATCTCGCAACGCTGCTCGAATAACAGCTTGTTGGGCAGGACCATTGGGCGCTGTAAGACTGGCGCTTCTGCCGACATGGTTGTTAGCAGCCCCACGAATCCATGCGTAGACTGTCGAAGGGTCTGTCGAATGACGTGGGAGTGCCTTTAGAAGCAGCGCACCGCATCCTTCGCTGCGTACGTAGCCGTTGGCAGATGCGTCGAAGGTCTTGCACCGGCCGTCGGCACTCAACATACTTGCCTTGCAATATTGTTCAAAGACATGGTGGTTAATCAATATGTGAACGCCGGCTGCAACAGCTGCGTTGCATCTTCCGTCGTTAAGGAACTGTTTAGCCACGTCGAGGGCTACAAGCGAAGAGGAACAGGCAGTGTCAATGGTCATACTCGGCCCGTGAAGATTGAACACATGGGAGAGCCTGTTGGAAATGATTGATGCAGCTCCACCAGTTCCGGTCAGGCTCTTTGTCTCCTGCTTTTGGGTGCATGCTTCACGAACCCAGTCATTGTTGCAGCAGCCTACGACAATAGCTGCATCCAGCAGATTGTGGTTCTGCAGCTCATGGGCAATTGCCTCGTGGCAGACTTCCAACAGGACGCGTTGGTGGGGGTCCATCAACTGGGCTTCAGCTACAGAAATGTTGAACGATGCATTGTCGAATAAGTCCATGTCTGGATGCGTTCCGGCATCGCTGACGTAAAGCCTATTAGATGAATCTGTGTCAGTCTCTCTGTATTTCCACAGATCGAAACGTGTGAGTGGAATGTGCTGAATACAGTCCCGACCAGCTTGGACATCCTCCCAAAACTCCGACGGGCATCGAGCCCTTGGCGGGAACCTGCACGCCAGTGCCGTGACGGCAATTGAGCTTCGAGCAGCAGGATGCGCCACTCCAGCGACCACCGTATTGCTCGCGTCCGCTTCCTGTGCCGAAGTCACTTGTTCCAAGTATTCTACAAGCTCGGCAATGCAAGGATGGTCATATAGGATGGTTGCCGGTAGTTGAATTTTGAGCCTCTTCGAAAGGCTTTCCCTGATCCCAATAGACGTCATTGAATCTACTCCTGCCTCTACAAATGGGGTGTCCTCCTGCAAAGGCTCCTCCCGGTTAAGAGCTAGCTTGAGCGACTCGTCGATTGCGGCCCTTATCTGTTCCTGGGAGATGGCAGGAACTGAAGATGCTGGAACTGCATGATGAGGCGAACTCTCCGCCACGGAAAACGGTGGGGAACGCCCCGGAGAGTGCGAGCTGCAGCCAGGGCGCATATCCACTTCCTCACTACTAGACGAAAACGTGCCATACTCAGCATGCGTTTGTTGGACAGTCGCACTCCCGCAGCTTATGGAACCTAATTTACTTTCCTGGCGGGATTCTTTGGGTCGCCTGTGGCCGGCCACGCTGCCGGGCCCGAGAACAGGCACCTCAGTGAACACTACAGGGCCGTTCCGTCCAGCATCCTGATCTGTGGACGGCCCGACAATACTGAATGTCGTCCCACAAAAGGACGAAGTGGGGGTTGCAACACAACCCTCCGGAGTGAGTAATTCCACAGGAGAAACCATTTCATTGCTGACCCCTGGCATGCTAATCAGATGAGACCAGGGAAACCTGTTCTTGTTCCAGTAACATTTGTCGTTTAGTTGCGCCCTAAAGTCATGCTGACCCGCAGCCGGGCCTTCTAAAATAACGTGGCCATTACAGCCGCCAACTCCGAATGAGCTTACACCCACCACCAGTGGCCGGTCAGGTACAGGGAATTTGGTTGCCGTTCGAGGGATGGAAAAGTTTTGCGGAACCCTATCTATTAAGCTGCTAAGGCGATTGAAATGAAGGGTGCCTGGCACGCAACGGTTGATGAGCACAAGGATAGCTTTGCAAATTCCTGCACCCCCTGAAGAACCTTCGCAATGGCCGATATTCCCCTTAATAGAACCGACGAGCAGCGGCCTTTCGGGCTCGTGAGAGTCACCAAAGACAGCAGCAAGACTTTGAACTTCTACTGCATCCCCCATCCTGGTTCCAGTGCCATGCGCTTCAATGTAATCAACGTCATCAGGAGAGATGTTTGCCTTTGTCAGTGCTCCCTCCATGACACGCCGTTCAGCACCTTCGCTGGGGGCCGTCGTTGAGAACGCCCTTCCACTATGTACCACAGCATGCCCACGAACATACGCTAGTGGGCTCACCAGCGAAGTGTCAACATAATCTGCAACATAGTCTTCCCTAACCAGAGAGAAGACGACGACCCCTTCGGATCTAATAAAACCATCAGAAGCTTCATCAAAAGGACGGCAGCGCCCTTTTCGCGACAGCATTCCTAGGTTGCACAGAGCCACGGTCACCTCTGGAGCGATGATGAGCTGAGACGACCCTGCGAGGGCGCATATCATGCGCCCTGATTCAATCTGGCTTACAGCTGTGCAGAAAGCAACTATGCCCGAAGACGTGGCTGTATCGATTGTCATTGAAGCCCCCTCAAGGTTCATGCAGTACGAAATGCGATTCGCAAGCATTGCATGCTGGAGATCCACAATAAAGCACGAAGGACCATCTCTTGCAGGAAGCTTCGCATGAACCAGAAACCTAAGCAAACGCAAAGGGGGCATCACACATTTTTCAGCATCAAGAGGGGTTCATCGTCTGGTCCAGAACATGGCCATTAGCTAAAGTGAACTCGCTTCAAGGTATTCAAACCACAAGCACTTTTGTGGTCTAGCTGTCGGACATTTGTTATATTCCTGAGAGATGCTAGCGCATATGAGGCTGCAGAACATACCAATCAGCGCACGAGCACCCAATAAAAACGCCAGTCTCATCTGTTGGGCGTATCCGGCCCTTCATCAACGGGGCTCTAGCCTCAAAAGCAGCTTCCAATAGGAGCCGTTGTTGGGGGTCCATTTGCGCAGCCTGAGAAAGCACGGTTTTTTAGACACTGCCAGAGGCATTCATATGCTGAATAATCCTGCTGAAATTTGTCGGGTAAACTTACTTCATGATCAGGGATTTCGAAGAAACGGTTATCAAAGGCATCTGCATCTTCAATGAATCCTCCTTCTTTGACGTAAATAGTACCCTCACCTCCTTCTGGGTTGTAAAGCAGATCTGCATCCCATCGCGAGGTAGGGATAGGGGTTATCGCATCCCTTCCTGGGACAAGGATATCTGACCACAAGTCACCCAGTGTCTCGACTCCCCCTGGCAAGCGGCATGAAGCGCTTATGATAGCCACTCGCGGTGAGTCCTGGTGTAGATGGATTGTATTTAGCGGGAAGTTGTTCGTCAGGTCCGTGCCGAGACCCGCGGCGAGCTCGGTGATCTTCGTCGCAACTTCCTCGATTTCTTTGCATTGAAGAAGTGAGGTGGGAAGTTCCAGCCCCAAGGAAATAGAAAGGGACCTTAGGAAGAATGAACTAGCTACCGAGTCGCTAGACACTAATTCCCACTGGCGCCCATACGAGTCACGCGCCGTGCCGTCGACTGCGCAGCTGGCAGCTCGCAGTGCCTCAATGACCAGATGCATTGAGTTCACGTCAACTGACGGATTGTACGCGGATTGGTTATCCATTTTACGCGTGGGGATTATGACTGCTCACCTGCGGCAGAGCATTGCACAAGCAACCCAGAATGGCAGCAGAAGGTCACACATTAATATGCACCCACCTCGAGGTAAGCATGAAAATCGTAAAACTCCTAGTAGAATAGTATGGGGCTGAAGTTGGACTTGAAATAGGCAATGCCCTGCTACCAGAGGAAGACACCAAACAATGGGCAACTCCGGGTGGTCACCAGATGCGGTCGGCAGCGGAGGCGACCTTGTGAAGCCAGCCAACCCATTGAAACCGGAGGCAGTCAATTCACCTAGAAAGAACTGTGCTATCAAAGTATTTCTTATCCCACGATTGGAAAGCCAGCAATTGCACGCGTGGACTTCTACGGCCTAGGCTTCCCAACCGCTCACGCCGGTCCACATTCAGTTTGTGCGGCAATACCGTCTCGCAAAGCAACCGGTAGTCTAAAACCGTATCAGAAACACCACAACACTATTTTTCCGCTGAGTGATGCTCATTTCCCCCTGCGCCGTGCCACCGTTTCCGCATGGGAAGTGCTCCAGGTGACCCAAGCAAACTCTTGTAACAGCGATGCCGACCAAAGAGTGGACTACCTGAGAATGGCGGGTAAATCCTAAACACCAGGGTGCTCCAAGCCTCCTCATCAAGGCAGGTCCTTGATTTGCGTGTGATTGTGGAGCCTCCACCACGCAGAACACCAACGGTGGTATGAGACTGGAGGGCATTTTCTACACTTCCGTATTCATTGCTACGCTACCATCGATCTTCCTGACGTGTACTCAAGCATATCATTATTCAAACGGTGAGTTTATTACAAGGATTTCCTACCCCAACATGTTAATGAGTATAGAATACCGACCTAGTTCATTCTGAAGATACTGCGGGAGATGTCTGGATGCATCCTGTCCTGTCCTCTGTTATGCTACGCCTACCGCTTCGTCAGTGTTTCAGCAAAGTGTCTGACCTTTGTGCTGCAGGTCCGAGAAATCGCTAGGCAGCATTTTGCAAAAACCTCAGCAAACCACTTCACAGCGAGCGGGGGTGGTGGGGCTGTGTGTAGCAGCTCCTCAACATGCAAAATACAGTTTGAAGGAAATTCCAGTACTCCAGACAGTGCCAGAAAGAGCATAGGGACCGATGTCTCAGGAAAAGCGGGTGTGCATTCACTGCCGGCACACAGTCGATACGGCGTGTGAAATTAAGGGCATTAATAGGAAATAACTTTGCACTTGGCAAGGGTGTACAGTCCCCCAATTGCTGAGTTGAGTGTTAAAGCACCTACAGAAAAGGGGCTTGCAGTCCCTTCTCTCCTTAAGACAAGAATGTGTCCAGGCTGTTAACACCGTGTATGCGCATCATTCATTGCGGCTGTTGTCTTTTACCAGCCGCTTTCAAATAGCAATAGCAAACAGTTCCTCAGCGGTTCTAGGTTGGGAAGCAAAGAATCCTTTTCAAAACGTTCCTTGGGGACTTCCTGTAGGTTTACAAATATGTGGAATGTGTAGAGATCTTAGCTAATTGTAAAGTTTTCCTTTGTAGCGATTGGTGCAGTGAAGAAGCAAAGCATTCGCTTCCCAACGTGACCAGAAAGCGCACACGACTTCATTTGAACGGGGAGCCTGTAGAGGTCTTTGCCGCCACGATAGTAAGTTGATTTGTACGAGTTGCTGCTATACTCCACGGCACGTCGACTTTAAGACCTGTAAGACAAGATACAAAAAGACGAATTTCCGCGCATTCGTGTCTGCAGCCGGATCAAATTAGGATTCGAACGCCTTCAGTATATCAGCCTGGTGAATAGAAACGGTCTATGCGTATTGCGGAGGCAGGTGCCAGTGTCCCACGCTTATGAGGTCAATATAGTCGATGACGTTATCTTTTGCTTGCGGCAGCAATTCTTCAACTATCCATCTTATCTCCTCCAGTGAGTGCTCAAAGCCTGTTTGAAAGTAAAATGGGCATTGGGTTTGCTCGAAATATACACCGAAACTCCTGAAGCGATTTGTGAGCGGTTTGCGAGCACCCCCAAACTACTTCTGACACTCTTACCACAGCGGCCGAAAACTCCGACTGCTTCATCCACAGAAACCTTTCGTCCAAGGGATGATCGAGAAAACTCTTTGATAAGCAACTGGAGAAGACGAGGTTGCTGGTACAAACGGGCCCTGACGTCGCACGGAATTCCTGCCTGGTGAAAGTAAACTATACGCTACGTCATATGGGAGGACAGCGTTGGAGGTGCCAACACTGCATGCATACTGAAGTTAACATTGAATGACTGACTGAAGCTTCTTGAAGCTTTGCTTAATGGCTTTTGTATCTTCAAGCTTCATAGATTCGAGCTTTGCTGTTTCCCTGTACGCTTGGATATTCTGAAGGAAGAGGCAAAGTAAGGATACTGGGGCAATGCCAGTTCAAAGGGCAATGAAAACTCGATCCCCCTTGTCAGTGGTCGCAAACGGCTAGGAGCTCACTCACACTGTGGACAGTTTCATTAAGACGTTGGCTCTTGGACAAAAATACCCCCTGCAGCTCCAACATCCCTTTGCAGAATTCTTCGTAGTCTACTTTCCCATCTCCAGTGGTGTCAAAGTACCTCGACATCAGGAGGGCGTCCTGAAAGCCAGTTCACTACAGCATTTGTTGGCTCGACGGTTGTGCTGTAAAAACAAGTCACTGTTCGTCCCTTCTGCACTAAGCGCATACCTGCTCAGATATTGAGTAGCCAAAGCGTTCCAGTGCATTTTGGAAATCTTGAAATGTCAGATACCCTTTGCGTCGCTGAAAATTCGATTCCAAGAACATCCTAATTGCATCAACTTCATCTCACAGTTTGCAACGAGCTAACTGTGAATGTACATGGGCCTTCCGGTAGCGAATTTGAGGTGAAAACGCTAAGCTATTTTTCACGGCACCTCATCGCATGCGGTGAACATTTGGCCTGCTTTGATATCGTTTCCACGGAGACCGTCCCACAGACGCCTGAGATGCAAGAGGACGCGCGCTTGGTCCGGTTCAAAATCTCCTTCTTGGGAAGGACGTCCGGAGAGGTCAGATACGCTTGTAATTCTGAATGTTTGCCTGTTTATTGTGACTGTGGACCTGCAAAGAAATTAGCGTCTTGGCCTATCACCTCCCAATGAGGATGTTTTCAGAAACCAAACAGAAAAGAACCAGCGCAATCACTACAGTGGACCTTACCCTACGACGAAATCGCCGGCGTCGAAAGGTCTCCCTGCATCTTCATTGAAGTATACGGATTTTTGGAGTAGCTTCTCCCCACCTGTTTTGCTTTGCCTGAAAGCATTGAGTCTTTCCATTGCATCAAGCTTGCAGCAGAGAATAGCCAGCGGGAGTCGTAGTCTAATTATTTTGGAGTGGGGTCTTGAACTTACCCATCGACTTTGGGTTCAAAGACAGAAACATATTTTTCTTCGGGATAGAACAGTATGTACACTTCTCTGCCAAAAGCATCAGGGCATATCATGTCTGCAATCGTGGCCTTCACAAACAACGGTCCTCCCTTCCGATCACGTTTCGAAGACACTGGGTTGGCCTCTTTGCGGCTTCTCCGCTTTGCGGAAGTCGACGGCTGGCTTGGCATCTCACAAACTCCAATATTGATTGGTTCTTGAAGCTCTATACCCAGAGTATCTCTGCCACAGAAACGCCCCCAACATTAGCTGACTCAGCTGGTCTTCTCTGCACAGGTTTTTGCAATTCACTGAAGACGTTGGGCTTGCAGAGATTGGGTCCAACCAGGGCAACCCACTTGACGTAAGACATAGTAAAGGGGTCAGCACCGTATATGAAAAACTCCCGGTCCGCTATTGTCACCGCCGAACCAACCTAACAGAACAGATGCTTCCGTAGACAGTAGCAAGGAATTTTTAGAGATGCATCCCACTGGCACGCCGCCCATTCAATAGGCCATTCCATTCTCTTACTTTGAAATCCAGCAGCTTGAAATATGTTGCTTCGGGAGGACGCGGATACGATGGTCCCACGCTTAAGGCATCTCCTGCGCGCATGCTCTGTTAGGCATAGTTATAAGGATAGGCCGTATTTAGGGTCAACCTTTCTGCTATATAGAATTAGACCTTGGCCATATTCCTTGCCCCACCCTTGAGCAATTTTCTTCTACTAATGAATATTGTAAACCGGTTTCCTCCAAGAGGAGGCAAGTTCTCTCGAATTTCCAGTGTGTCATCTCTAAATGGTCACAAAATCCACAGAAGCTCGACATCTCTAAGGAATTATTGCAAATACCAGCGTCTCATCTGGTGCACAGGCCGGTTGCCCCTCCGATGCGCAAAGCTAGTAGGAATCTTAGTTTTGCCATGCATACCTAGGGAAATACAATATTGTGTACATTCGCCTCTCAATCACATTTGTAAAATCGTCGTCGAAGAAGGCCCTAAATCTGCAGACCTGCAGGCCAAACGTTATAGCAGCGAGCCGACTCAGTTGAGTGTGAAGAAACCTATTGCTCTAGTCAAACACACGCTGACTTCCATACCGGCTCAGGGCTTTCAACGCGTTCGAAGAAGTCGTCGATGCATTGATTGTATGGATTTGGTGCTGCTCTGCAACCGCACACACCAGCATGCAGGATCCTAGCCATTCAATGTGGTTGAGCCCTCGCAGCACGGCAGATTGAAGGGCTCCGCTTGCGTGGACGCCATACTTCTGTGTGTGGTGCTTGTTCTGCATCATGCGGCATGAATAACCAGCACTGCCCGGAAGATCTACGGTACAGTTGGATGGCTGGTTCATTCCCGAGACCCTGTACCACTCCTTCACAAAAACACAACTCAGTACTTAAGAATATAGCGTACTGAAGTTCTACATCAAGGTGTCAAAACTCCGTTGGATGAGCCATTTTTTTTGTTGCTAACACAGGGAGCTCAAAGGAAGTCCTACCCTTGTGAATGCGTCACATGCCGTTATTGCAAATGTTTTTCCGTATGCTGTGAACGGTGTGCCGACACGCAGGTCTGCCGGAGACACAAGCTTCTCAGGATCAGCCGCGCTAGGAAATCGATGTCTCTTAATTAAAGATCCGCTGTTCATGCCGCTGTTGTCGATCTTTGGCTCGATGATTTCCAGTGTATCGTCCTATGATAAAATGAATCACATGGAAGATGGTACCAAAATGAGTACAGATTCGCCTGGGGTAGTAGAAAAGGTCATTGCAACTATATATTAGCTCGCACCTCCAGGTAATACAGTATTTCACAGGGCCTGCTGCGGTAATTCTCAGCTCTTGATTCGTCGACGTGCTCGTTGAAGTAGCTAAAGAACCTGAGGACCTTGTGTTCCATTACATCCCAGGCCGGAGCGTTCATTGGTGTCGATATATCCTTTCTGTATGTATCTCTGGTGGTCGCGACGGGAACAGTCGAACCATCGCGCCAAGTATCTTTTCCTCTGAATAAACCGGAGCCAGGTATGAAGAGTCTTTGGATTCTAGGTGTCAACACATTTACGCGAGAAGTAACGCATCCAAGGAAAACTGCTGTGCTGCGCTTTTACCTCTCCAAAGCAACGAATCGAAAGGATTCGATGCGGCGAGCATCTTCGGGAGAAGCGATGGACTTCATGTTTTGACTCACTCCTTGCGCCGCCGCGCAGTGGCCCAGAGAAAACTTGCGACACAGACACCGCACGGGTAGCCACCCTTCAGGAAAGCAATCTGTATCTCCAGGTCCCTACAGTACGTGCAGCTCTTTTCGATTTCCATGCGGCTGCATGGTGCGTATCTAATTAGGAGTTTGCGGAAGGCCTGTCCTTAGGAACCAACGGACTATTCGTCTACGAAGCCGCGGCTACGCCACCCACCTGGACTCCACAATGCTGGGACATTTTCTGGAGAGTCTTAATTTGCTCTTGCAAATCTGTCATGTAAGTAGCTGGTTAATCAATACACTTTCAGATTCCGCTGGACACCGGCAAAGCCCCCCCGAGCGGTGCGCTGCTCGCCGTGCACGAAAATGCGCTAATCGGCCGAGGTCAATGCAAACCTCCCACCCTGCTATGCTACTTCAGCTCAAAATTGCACTCATTTATTCACACAAAATTTCTAAGGGTCAATGCAGAACTATATTCGGCGCCTGCCACGTGAACAGTCGCACAAGCCCCCAAGTCGATGCAGTAGCACCATCGTCCCTGGAGGAGGCCCCAGTTGTGTAGCTCGTGAAACCCAAGCAAACCGTCGAAATAACACTCTATTGCTAACACTTATTCTGGAGGTTATCCGCTTACGTGCTTTGGTTTGGTGTTGTTCCGTTGTCGAGACCTGATCCATGCAACTGAGGAAGGCGATCCTTGCACTTCTAAATCCGTACTTACTAACGATGGCATTTCGAATGAAACGGTTTCGCCTTTTTTCTATAGACATAAAAGGAATTAAGGCGGGATCAATGACGGAGTTTAGAGCTACCCCATAGTACTTACTACCTAGTGTCCCCGAGGTAGAAAGCAGCACCATTCCACCCTTCGTTTTCACTATCGCTCGAACTATAGGTTGTTGAAGCACTCAATGGCCAGCAACTTGTTTGAATTTACCTGCATTACGGGCGAAGGTTCTAGTGGCTGCACTGTTGGCTCCCGCATATTTGCACCTGGGTTCTGGACTGAAATGTAGCTGCTCCTGGTGGATGGCGCCTTTCTGGGCTCGCTTTTGTACGTCAGTACATGCCCTATATATATATATATATATATATGTATGCTAATGCCTTCCGATGACAAGGAGGGGCATGAAAGCACCTCCCTGCCGTCGGAAGGCGTTAGGGTTGTATTGCAATATACCTAGAAAATTATGAAGAGCTCAATGCTACCAGAATTTCCCGCTAATTTGCACGAGCCCCCTCCCGGCAAAATTATTTATGCCTGAAGAGATAGGTGAACTAAGATACGATACCCATCATCAGTAAATTTTAAGCGTGAAGAGACGCTAATTATCAATTGGTGCTCTGTGCTTACATATATCTGCCGTTTCGCCAAGGCAAAACGCTAAACTTTACTTGGCGATGAGTTGAAATCCTCCAGGAACTTGGATTGATGCCAAACAACTAAGTTAATTCAACCCGTAGGAAAAGTAGAAAATGGGATGAACACCCTAGAAACAGGGCAAAAGCAGAAGGAAAGCACAACTGCATTGACAGCATCTCACTGTGGATCAGTGCTGGTAGGCTGGGAGAAGCAGATTGAATCTGGTCTCCTGGGGCGCCTGGTTAAGATGCTAGAACTGCGCATATGCCTCTCGTGTGAACCGGTTGGAGAAGCTGAGGGGACGGAAGGTCTGGCAGTTCTACACTCGGGTAATCTTGAAGCGGTTACCGGAGTGAGAGGCAATTCGCATGGATGCGCATCCACATCTCGCATAGAGTTGGTGCGCCCGGAAGAACCTCTGGCTGGCCGCTGCGGAGCAGGCCTTATAAGTCGTGATATGGATGAAGTTTCTGAGCCTCTAACAGTGGCATCGCAGTTTCTCGCAAGCGTTGGACCACTACCCAAGCCAGCGGAATCAGCAACGGCGTTTCTGTCTGCCGTCAGTTCGTTAGCATCATTCGCGAAGCAACCATTGTCTCGACTTCCTGTTACATTAGCAAGCGTCCCGCTCCGCTGAGCCTTCCCCACATCAGAAGGCTCTTTGTAAGTGCAACTGACCGAATTCAAGTGAGGCGCTTCAGCTGTATTAGAGTGTGGGTTTAGAACGCTGGAACTTGCATGTGACGGCTGCGGGTCGAGCTTGTATGACCGACCTATTGCCCCGAGATCTAGCCAATCTGTTGGGACGCAATCACGGTTTGCTGCTTCAGCCCTCAGCGTTGCAAGTTTGTGGTGAGGAAGAGCCGCTGAGGTGCCAGCGCAGAATCGGAGCATTTGCAAACCATTGAGAGTTAAATCCCCAAGGCCATCTGGTGGTGGAGGCACTCTGGAATGATTCTGTAGCAATGCGTGCTGCTGGGCTGGAGACAAGAGGCATTCTCGAACTTTCTGCACAAAGGGGTGGAGCATAAAATCATCGCTGCTGTCATAGGGCTGCTGCTCAATCGAATGACCACCGGAGCAGAGCCGACGTAGCGCGCTACCACCAAACGGGCCAACCTTCTGATCCTGAAAAGCCAACACAGAAGCAAACGGGATGGAGCCTAAGGTAGGCACTCTGCATCTGTCGCCTCGGCCATGCAACACCCGGGGGCCCGGAAGGGAAATGCAGCCCTCAGACGTCCCAGGAAACCCACTTAAGCGGCATCGACGTTAAGTGAATATTGATTGCTGCGATATTAAACCGGGGTGCTGACAGTTCTGTATGGTATAGCCTTGATTAAACGGGGTCTAGCATAAAGGAATTGCTACTGGCCTGCCTGGTCGAGGCGGCATCAATAGGTTTCCGGAGGGGCATCCCAACCGCTTCCAAAAGTCACCTACCTTCGACGGATCAATGCCTCCCCGAACAAGAAGCGCCTGGACTGCTTCCCGTTTTTCCTGATCAGCGCAGACACTAAACAGATGGAATAGCTGCGCGACGCACGGTAAATGGCCCCGCACAGTATTTCCTGCATCACGACGTGAAATCCCTTGCCATAGCCGCCACAGGCAGCCAGGGAAAAAGTTATAGCGAAAACGCCTCTTGCTTACAGAGCACCTTCGTCCAGCCACAGCAAAGAGTATACTTCATTCGAGAGCATCTTGCAGAATGTGCGGCATTCAATCTGCGGAGATGCATCTGCATTGCATAGGCAGAGTGATCAACGATCTATGGTGCTGCATTGAGATGAGCTCACTCACCTTAAGGAAAGAGTCTACCATTGATGAATTGTCGTTGTCGTTTGAGGGTGGCGAGTCAACTTGCATCGCGCAGTCTTCGGACTGTGTTCTTTCTGCTTCTTCTAGAGACCTCCGGTGGAGTGCCACAAGCTCGCTAACACGCGCTGTCGCTGTGGCAGCACTCGCTGCACACGAGAAGTTGCTTAGCCCTCTGCATGCCTCTTCTGCTCCTCTAACCTGCGGCAACGACCTATCTGTATCCGCTGCAAATGAAGAGGATTCCTCGGTGCGCATCTGAACCTCGTGTTCTTCGTCTATACCATTACTGCGAAGTAGACGCTCCAGACGTTCACTCCGTTGCGCTGACTCTGTTATTCCTGCTGCCTCCAGGTGAACACCCAAAAGTGTTGGGCTGCAAACCAATGCACCATACAACATGAAATGATGCATTTTACAGCGTGCCTCAACGGTGACCGCCGAGGATAATCTTAAGTCACTCAGAGTCTTGCGTGCTGTAGCGAGAGTACGCTCGGAAATCTCAATTAACTTAAGAATATGTGCAGAAGACAACCTTTGAGGGGAAGAACTACACCGTCAAGTTTCGCGTACCACAAAGTTACGAATGAATGCATGAAGAGTTTGGCGTGGAGAAGAAACATCAGCCTGTCTCTCTGAAGCGACATGAGCAAACTTTCGCGCCCTTCGTAATTCGACTGTAGGCCACGTTCCTCCGTTTGCTTTCGGCTTTGCATGCACTGCTGTTGACGCTGTTCTATAAGAAGCTTTGCAGCATGATAGGCGCCTTCTAGGCGAGAAAGTGATGCCACAACTGTCTGCATTTAGCGCACAGCCAGCAAATATCCCAGACAGAAGCGCACACATCTTTCGCGCAAGGCTCTTGTTCATAAACCCTGTTCGATCTTCAGCGTGTTCTACATACTTACGCTAATGAGGTCAAGGATACAAAGAGCCTCAACACGGTGTCGTTCTTCCGCCTCTGCCAGTTCTACACCCGAAACCTCGCGCAGCTGGAGATCCGTTGTTGCATGCTTCTCCAAAAGTGGCACTGCCTTCTTGTGAATTTTGCTGACAAGGCGCCATAAGGTCTCGGTGTGCTTCCGGTGGGCGGTCTGGGAAACGCTGCCCATATTTTGGGCTGCCAGTGAAAAGCAGCATTCAGCGATACATGATCTGCAGTGCCAAAACACCACGAGATTGTTAAAGGAATGCACGTACTGAATCATCGGGTGAAATGAAGGAATGGACTGGCAGGCCAAACGGCAGTACGTGGAACATCTCTAACGTTTCATATTAAACGCATATCGCAGGTGGTTTTCTCGTGAGCCAAGCTAGCGGGGCAACTAACGCAGAGGAAAGGAAGCGGCTTACAGAACACGAATATCCCCTTGCAGAATACTTCTCCCCAAGACCTGATTTAGAAGAAATGTTACCAAGTAGCGCACGGAGCCAAGACGTGAGTCCATCTGCGTCGAATGTTCACCCCGCACACGCTACAACCAACCTCACATATCGCCTGCAGAAGCGCATCTGCGCTTCTAGAAAGCAAGATGTGCAATTGCTAAAAGAGCCTGCTACAGAGGAAAAACGGACGGCGATTGGACTTTTGTAGAGATAGTCCTGGTATCTTCCCATGCAAAGGAGGAGGCAGCTGCAGCACTTCTGCAGCAAGTCTTTATCGGGGAGTGGCACCAAAACACCGTCCCGCAGCTCGGAGGGCTTCATTTGCTTCTGCTTATAGGAGGAAGAGCTAGCTGAGGATCTGTATGACTGCATGCGCCAGCGTGTAATGGCCTCAGCAATTAGCAAGGTTGACGCCGCACCTTGGAGACTCAGGCCAGCACCATACAACGTTTTATAGTGTTGCGGCTCGAAAAAGAATTCAAGGGCCTTGGTGACTCCATCAAGCACAAAGTGGGAACTAAGGGGATGAGCGCTCATCACTGTCTCGCCGACGGATGTCAGCTGAATATACTGGCGGCTACTCCGACGGGTCACCGATTGATCAGCCTCCGGCTGCTGCTTGCTGCCTTCCGTTGACCTTCCATGTACTCCATCAACGGCAGCCTGAGCAGCAGCAGCTGCCGCTTTTGTCGCTGCCGTTGCTGCCGAGCTGTTTGGGTTCGGAGGAGCCGACGTCAGCAGAAAAAGCAAAGAGTGGGCTCCAAAGGCAGCTCGCGGCAAGGACCTCAATTTCAGCTCTGCGCACCACGTCTTTAGAGCCGTAAGACAGCAGAGCAATTCAACCGGGACATTGGATGCCCTTTGCCCATCGTCAGTCGTTTGGCTGTTCGTCGGATCGGTTCTGAGCACGGCGCCTTCGGGTTTCCACAGCGTTGAGTCACGCTGAATGGCGAAGGCAGCACCGGCTGATTTACTTTTCATACGCAGCTCTCTTGCGGCTGTTAGCCAACCCTCCAGAGCACTAGCCTGCTGGCGAAGCTCTTCTTCCCCCGTCTGCAGCAAGGCATCTGCCTCTGCCACTGCATGCACCAAAGCAGAGGAGGCAGAATCCAAACTAGCGGTCTTGACGGTCTTCGTGTCACTAGAAGCATCAACAGCTGAAGCAGCACAACGCAAGCAAACCCAGCCTTCCGCAATACAGGGCCCTCCCGCTACATGCGTACCCGTAGGCGTAGCCACTCGCACACGCCAATGCGGATCACTGGTGCGCACTGCAACAACGCGAAAAGGCTTCACCGAAGTGAAGAACCGCGGTGACAAGTGGAGTAAGCACAACGTATTATTGGGTCAAGGCGCTCCTTAGCAGTAGTCTTGCTCTACAGTGCTCCTCGTCTTTAATTGCCTACCGCCTGCTGTTTGCTGCACGCTGACACTGTTCGGGTCGCTGAAGTCGGAGCCTGGGAGCTTTGTGTCCACATGTCCTGTATCTGCAGCAGTTACTTAGTAAAAATCAACAACTCACGCAAACAAACACTGTCACTTACATGTTCGGCATGCGCACAAAGCAGCTTTGCCTTTCATGGTCATGCAAGAGCGTGCTATACGAGCCCTACCCGCTGCCTGTGAGGGTGGACCGATCGGAGGTGATGCTGCTAGACTGGGCTGATTTGTAGACTCCTCGCCCGCACTATTGCAACCGTCCCCATAGCGGGCAAGCAGACTTTCGAGCCGGCCTTGAGAAAGTCCGGAAGCTGCTATCTGCTTAGTGGCCTCCACAAGTCGAGCCCGGCATTCAGGAGAGAGGGACGGTAACAAGCTACGAGCAAATATCGCACAAGGAGTCCACTGCGTATCAATATGTGAAGACTGCGCGCCTTTTGTCTCTAGTCTATCTTCTGAGTGAGGAGCGTGCAGTTGTCATAAATATGGCGCATGTGGCGTAAACAACTAATTGAATCACTGGCTATAGCAGGGGCACTTACTGCAGGGTCCCTCCCTTCAGTGCCAAGTTGCACAGAACGAGGAAATCAAAGGCCAAGCCTCGTTGTTCGATTGAAGCCCTTGGATCCGTGAAAAGGGCAAAGAAGCGGGCAGCGCACTGCTGCGAAAGAAAGTCACTCAGTGTCTCGTTGCAAGACGCACCAACCCCCCTGGACTGCAGCTGGATCTGCACATGCTGTCCCAGGGCGCGAGTCATCGCAGCCATCAAGTCTACAAGCAACCTGAGCAAACGTTGAACATTCCACTGTCATTCCTCTTGAAACTACGGAAGTGGAACATATCAGAGTTGCTAGCGGCGTGTTGAAACAGAAGGGCGGCAGGACCAAGGAACTGGTGCAAATATTCTTCTTCCTGCAGCAGACTACTCGTCAACCTGACGCCACATCCCTTCAAGGCATGCTTAATAGAGAAGGACCAACTCACTCTTTGCTTTTGCAACGGATGAGGCTTCTATGAACTGCAGAGAGAAACCTAGGACGGTCTTCCACAATCGCTGCTAGCAGCAGGAGGGTCTCGCGCACGAGCTGGCGTGGCTGCTTCGATGCGGACTTCGGTGTTGTTGTTGCCTTTGCGTTGGGAGTAGCAGCGCAAGCAAAAGCAGCATCCAGTAGCTGTTGCAAGATCTGCTGTTGCTCATAGAGAGGCAGAGCTACGCGCAGGCACTTGTATGGCTGCATCACTAACTGCAGCAACTGGAGCAGCACACAAAGAGACTCCTGCGTCTGGACAGTCCGCGGTTGTTGCAGAACTTCTGCCAGGCTGCACACCCACCCCGCAAAAGCAGAGAGTCGCAACGGTCCTCTACACCCGCAGCATAGACGGTAACCTTGCGAGGCCTTGCGCAGTGGCACAGTAGTTGCCTCGCCGGAAGCGCCTGATATATGAAGTATACAGGTACGCGTTCCGTTGCCGTTATGGCTGAGAGTAAACAGTGAGATCGTCAGCACAGCGGCAGCTTACCAAAATGCTATCCACTTTAGAAGTAGGTCCGTAATGCTCTTTTCCCCTTGTAATGGGTGGATGCGAGACTCAGACTGTCCGGCGGAGACAGATGCGCCGCCCTCCATGCCAAAGAGGGGCTTCCACGCATCACAGACAGACTTGAGCTGCGATAACTCGGGCACTGCTTGTTTGTTGCTTCCCACTACTGAAGAGCCATGGGACGGAAACATCAACAACAAGAGATTGGATTCGACACGTCCCCTGAGTTCGTGGTACAATTCTTCCCTCAGAGAAACGGGCTGTCGCCTCAGGGTGGCAAACCCCGCTCCACTGCTTCTCTGGATTCGCTGGGAGCGCGTTGAGAGAACCAAAGGACTAACGTCAGAAGAAAGGGCTCCCGCTGATGCGTCAGGGGCAACGGCGGGTGTGGTAGCCCGAGTCGATTCCTCCGAAACAAGATCCATAGCTTTATGGTGGGAGTCTTGCTGCTGCAGCTGGGCTTTCCTTGTGCTGGTTGAGCTTGGCGAGTACCCCGTCTTCCAGAGGGGATCCCGCAACGAAGCCTGAACTTCCTGCTGTGCTTTAAGCAGAAGCATGAGGGTTTCGGAAGGGACGAGAAGCTGCTTGAGTGCAGCCTCTGCTGATTGGCCTGCCAGCGGCTGCCCTGACAGTCTCTGCTGCATCACTTCTACGATGGATTCAGACGGACAGGCCTCGTGAACAAGCGACAGCAGAGAGTTGGCTGCAGACGAGCCTACATTACTTTCTCCGCGGAGCTGCGGAAGCACCGCATCCAGAAGGTGCGGTACAAGGGACAAAAGCAACAGAGATTTCTGCGAGGATTCCATCGGCATGACAACTCCCAACAGAGCAAACAGCGCCTCTCGTATCTTGGAGTTCTTCTGCTGCAACATGGCTCCCGACAAACCGATAGAGAAGGGGCGCCGCAGAACTGCCCCGGCGAGTGGTCTCTGAGAGACAGAAGTGGACATTGCACTGCTGCTGTTGCTGCTGGATAGGAAGGGGCTCAGTAGCGTCAGCGAATCCGCGAGACCCAAAGCAGTCATCCACTTAGCCGTTGCGATGTAAGCTGCCTGCATAACCTGGAAATGAAAGGAAAACGAGGCAAAACAACTGAAACAGCACTCCATGCATTTTTTCCATTATTTTCCAAGGCCGTGTGCCGAGCGACATGACGCCTTGTGTCTCTTCCCGCAAGTGCGCTGGAACAATAGCCTAGAAAACCCAACACGCCGGCAGAAACTAGGCTTTCGTCCCAGTGCATCTGCCACATGGTGTGAAATAGCATTAGATAATGGCTTCCAAGGAGTAGATAGAGCAAAAATACGGGAAAGCAGCTTGTGCGCCTGCTACACGATGAGGGACGTCTATGATCGTTAACGGAAGCTAACGGACGTTTACCTTTTTATCTGAGTCGCAGAGGCATTCAGCAGCCGCAGGCAACATCTGTTTGTAGACACGGGCGGCGGGAAGGGGAGTCGCGGCACAGCCAACGTCTTGGGGAGTATCTACCCCCAGCCGATCACAGAAAATTACCAGCGTCAGCAATACCTGCCGCCGCACAGACGCATTCGGGTCCCCTAGCCGTCTTCTCAGCACCGACACGAGACCGCTGAGCCCTGAGTTGCAGCAAGCAAGCAATAGTAAGCCAAAAAATTCCTAACAAGTGACGATGAAACCATGATGCTTTCGCTGCAGTTGCGTGGCCGCAACCGGTCGACGACCTGGATGCGTTTGTGGTTGTTCTACTCTCTCTTTGGCATCCAAACAACAGCTTTCACCATCACAGCACGATTGTGTGCTCATAGGCATTTAACAAGGGGGAAACGAGTACGAGCAAGAACCAGTCCCCACGCACGCATAGTCAATTTGAAGTTGTCTATTCATTAATGTCATACATACTCTGACGCCGGTTTTTAGGGAAAGGCAATGAACCAAGGAAACCCCCTGGCGACTGCCTGGTATCCAACTAAATCAAAATTGCAACCAGAACGCAAAATTTTGAAAAGGCATTACTCAATTTACTGATTGTACACGAACGGAGGGAGACGTGGAACATGCAGAAAGCCGAAAACCCGTACACACAAGCAGGAAGAAGAAAAGGGGGCTGTTGCAAAGGACTCAACGGAGAAATCGTGGCCGCACCTTCGGGCTTGACTCTCCCCCCAACCTTGTTTACAAAGATATGCATGAGCTCATTCAGCGCTTTGAGGACCGTCTCTTCATCTTGTCCTTGTTGCAGACGCTGTAGAAGATCAGGGCTGATGTAAGCCGCCAAAGAGACACAAGGAACATCAGGCGAAGACAGTGGGTCTGTGCAGGCCAACGAAGCAGCTGCCGATGCAGCAGCAGCAGCTCCCGCCCTCAGCGCAGCGATTGCAAGCTCCCAAGCTGGTCCTGTGTCCTCAGCTGCGGGCTGTGCCTGCTGCAGCTGCGTGTCTCGCTGCTGCTGCTGCTGTCGTTGTTGCTTGAGCGCGTGTTTCACCTCGTCCGGAAGTGGGTGGGCAACGAGCATAGCGGTCATGGCTTTATCGCCAAGCTCCCCATGCAAGCGTTTCAGCAGGGGGAACACGACGGAGCGCGATCCCTGTGCAAGAAGGAAAAACCACAATGAACTACTAGCACTAGCAGATGCATGTGTGTGCATGCCCGGTGCTGCACCGGGCAATATCTGCTCGAGAAAGCAACGGGAGTTGTCGAAAAAGCTAGAAAAGGACCAGAGGACAGGCAATTTGCCGGGTAGTTGGGATGACTACGAACTATTGTGCTGCCTCTCTCCCACCTTGCTGGGTTCCAGCAATTGCCGCACAATCATCAGCAATTGCTTGGGTGGAGTGAACGCCGTCAGGCCCCACAGATGCAGCAGCTGCTCCAGCAGCTGACAGACACCGTGCATGATGCGGCCTCCCCCCACACGGCCTTCGGCGAGAAAAGCGAGTTGAGCAGCAACAGTTGTTGGGGTGTCTACGCATTTCGCTAGGAGAAGCCCAATGGTCACGATAGCGCTGCCCACGCGCGGATCTCCCAGGCGGTCCCCAAGAGGCTCCAGCACCACATTGACGACGGCCTTATCAACAGGGGGCAGTTGCCGTCGTCTTGTGGAATGGCTCCTGCTAGTGCTCATTTTCCCCCAATGTAGCGCGTCCTTGCTTCCTGCTACTGCTCCCGCTATTCCCCCTGCTGCTGCTGTCACTGCAGAAGCTTCTCCTGGCGGCAGCAAACCCCCCAAGATGGCCTGTAGACACGTGATGCACGCATCTTCCAGAGCGGCGGTTCGTTCCCTGAAGCCTCTCATCTTGGATCGCAGGTGCAGCAAAACATAAACAGCCGACTTGCGGAGCCCTTCCAGTCGGCAGCAGCTGCTGCTGCTGTTGACTCCCTCTTCGGTATCCATTTGACCGTCCTCAAGTTTGCAGATATTACAATCACAATGCCGACGAAACCACTGCTCCAGGGCTTCGTATGCCCGCTTCCGCTCAACTCCAGCAGGAGCCTCGAGGTTCTGCAGAAGCTCAGCTGGCAGCAGTTCTCTGGTCTTTGCCTCGGCCTCTTCAAGCCCTGCGGCTGCATGCGGCGCCTCCCACTGGCCTCCTGCCGCAGCGGCCCCCCCATGTGTTCCTGCCCCTGGGGGACACCCCGTTGCTGTTCCTGCTGACGTGAAGCGCTGCAGGGGCCCCCTTGCAGTGAGATTGCCAACAGATCCACTTCCGTGTTTGCGGAAAGTGGTTTTGGTGGGTCCCGAGGCTCCAGCACCTCCGGTTCGCTCAGAAGCACCTGAAGTGGCCTGCGCTGGTGCCGGTGCTGTTGCGGCTGCTCCTGCTGCTGCCACCGCACCAGCAGCACCGCGGCTACGCATGCGCGAAAACGGAACGCCTGGAGTTGGAGCTCCCTGGTTCGGCAGACGCCGAGGAGAGGATATCAGAGGCTGGGATCCTTTTGCTGCTGAACCTACAGCCTGCATTGCCTTTTGCAGCTGCTGTCGTTTAGGCTCAGAAAGTTTCTGCATAGCCTCCCCCACTGCGGCAGATCCCTGTGCATGCTTGGCAACAGCAGCAATCAGCCCAACCCCTGCTGCTCTCACTGCGGCGTTGCCATCGTCTGATGCTGCGCGGCCTGCCGCAAGGAGCTGCGCAGCAACCTTTTGCAAAGCGGAAGTACCACCCGCCTGCTGTTCGACGGCTTTGGTTATTTCGTCTAGAAGCAGTTTCTGATAATGCGCCAGTTTCTCTTTAATTGGCAGCAAGTCCCCCACTACAACATCCAAGGGAATGCAGGAAAGATACGTCCCAATGCACGCGCATGCAGCCGACTGGACCGGCCTGTTGTTGACCTTCAACTTCGCTAGAGCGTCCGGCAGCAGGCCGCGTAGTTGCTGCTGCAGTTGCTGCTGCAACTGCTGCGAGCCCTCTCCCCCCAGTGGCTGCAACAGCAGTTGAACAAGCATCTGCAGTGTCTTCAGAGCGCAGGTAACCACCGGGAGAGTTGGCTCAGCTGTAAGCACGCGGTGCAGCAGCGGCAGCAGCTGTTGATGCAGAAACGGGTTCTTCTTGTACAGAGACACGCAGTCCCGCAACCCCTGAAGGCAGCATAATAAATCAGAAAAAACAAACGAACAGACGACTGATGAGCACTTCCTCGCAAGGAACACACGTGGGCGAGGAGTGAGGCAGCAACGTCATCAGCAACGAAATGCCGCACAACTCAGCACACCAAGCGAAGGAAAAGCAGTACGGGTACGTGCTCTGCATACAAACTGGTGGCGACACCGCAGCAGCATCAGCACCAGCTGCAGCAGGAGCAGCCCCAGCAGCAGCAGCGAGATGGCAGCAAGAGAGGAAGAGGGGACTGACAGTTTCCAGCTGTTGCCAGGCCTGCATCTTGACCTTCCACGGGGGTTCTTCTGCCTCTTTGTCCCCCCGTGCGGCAGGCTGCACCCCTTCTGTGGCTCTCACGACCCAATCTGTCTGCTGCTGACAAACTGTCTTAAGCACGTCTGTCTCTGCCACGAGACGAGAAGCCAGACAGGACCCCCCCCCTCCCATTCCTCCTCTACTACTCCCCCCAGAAGTCTGAGGGCTCTCTGTAGCTTGCCCTTCGGCTGCCATTCCTGCAATGGAGAGAGACGGAGGGGAGGGTGGTTCTGCTCGAAATTTTTCGACGAGTTTTTCCACTTCCGTTTGCATCGATTTGCTGCTTTTCAGGATCTCAAGAACTGTCTTTTTAGCGGCTTCTGCCGCGGTGTCTCCAGCCGCAGCACCTGTGAAGTGCACAGCAGTGGCGGCGAGAGAAGACAAGGCGCCCCTGACACGCTTGTCGCTGCAGGCAGCAAACGCGCCAATGGACTTCATCAGATTCTGCACGCCTCCCACCGCCACCACGAGTTGCAAGCCGAAGCTTTCAAGCATCTTCAGTAGCAGCTCCAAACTGCTGCCGATAACGCGAATGCCTTGGCCCTTTATGGCTGCTACGTTTCCTTTCTTCTCAGCTAGCAACGCCTGGCCACTCGCAGCTGCGAGGTTTACAGTTTCAACTACACAGGCTTCAGAGGCCCTGCTGAGCTGCAGCAAGACGTCGCAGCAACCAGAAAAGTGCTTCGGGTTCGACAATATCTGCGCAACGATTTGCTTTCCGTGTTGCTGTAGCAGCGGCAGCGCTGCAGCAGCAGGAAAGACAGCAGCATCAGCAGCTGCTGCTGCTCCTGCCCTTGCTGGCGTGCACCCAACAAGTGCCTGCAGCAGTTCTACTGTCTTGGAGCCCATCAGGGCGTTCGTATCCTTAAGAATCGAGCTGAAGTGGGGCTTCATTAGCTCCTCCCACAACTTAACCCTCTCCTCGCAGCTCCCGCAGGCGTCCAGACGCCCCACAACTTCGTCGCATCCGTGCGCTCTTTGTTTAATTGCCTTACTTTGGAGGCGGGTGGAGAGGGGAATTCCCGAAAAGTCTTCTACTTTCAAGGGCCCCAAACCGCCGTCCCCCAGGTCGCCTAACGCATGCAACGCAGTTTCTCCTTCTGTACCGTCGCAAGCTCCAGAGGAAGGCCTCTTCTCTGGGGGGCTCTTTCGGGCCCCTGTTAAACAAACCGCAGCTTCAGCTTCTCCCCCCTGATTGCCTGTAGGCGACTTCAGAGTCAGCCGCTGCACACCCAGGCAAGAAGAATCAAGAAGAGCTGTTGACTCTGACAGGGTCGCAGGCGCTGCTGATGCTGCTCCTGCTGCAGCACCTGTGGTGGGAACGCCTGCCGGCGCCGCTGCCACGGCAACTGCCTGCGGTGGTGCTGGTGTATTGGTGAGGGCTGAAGAGGTTTCGTGGGTGGTGCGTGCTTCCATGCTTGAATTCAAAGATGCTGCAGCACCATCGACCTTCATTTGTCGCTTGTGAAGACTTAATGCGTCTTCTTCATGAGCTGCTGGCCCATTGTTTTTCGTTGCTGCCGTTTCTTGATGTGCCACTGCTGCTTCCCCGCAAGTGTTTTGCATCTGGTGAGGTCCGTCTTCTTCTTGCACTGCTGCCATTGCGTCCTCGAATGACCTTCTGACGCTTCTTCTTCCTTCTGCGCTTCCGCTGTTTTCACCCCCCGGGGTTTGCTGCGTCTGCTGCTGTTGCTGCTGCCCCTGAGATGCTGCAGCACCTATGTCGACTGCTCGAAACTTGGAAACTTCAGCAGAGTCAGCAGAAGTGTTCAGGCGACGCCCCAAGAACTCCTGCATCTTCTTAGGACGCGCCTTGGGGAAGAGAAGACGCCGCTTACGAGGGGGGTCTGTTTCTTGCGCACCAGGAGGGGCTGGGGCGGGCGCATTGGGTGCTGCTGTGGGCAGATTCTGTGGGGCCCCCTGAGCCGCATCTGTAGCCCCGGGGGCAGGGAAGGGCCCCTGAGGCTGCTGCGAATGCGCCTGCTGCTCCATCGGTTAAGGCAATTAGGGCTTCATGATAAAATATGCTGTACGCATGCGCCCCCAGCCGTCTCCCTCTGAAAAGGAGGGTCAGTTTAGAAGAAAGCGTGTTACAATCAGCAGTTCGTTCATTATATGCAAACCAGCAGGAGAGCAGGCGGGTGCCATGAAGGGAAAAGACAGTGGTAATAATAACTACACGGTGGCGCTGGTACGTAGCAGGCCGAAGACAGAGATTAGCTGCCGCATGCACAGCATATGAATCTCTTCTTTCTGTTTTTAAAAGCTGTCATCCACAATTTCGGGATTTTAAAGAAATCATGCAGCCCCCATGTCGGCAGTGGCTTGGCGGGGTTGTTGTACTGAGGGGCTGGTTAGTGACAGCCGAGCCTAGCAGTGCTCGGTGTTGTTATCCTCCTGACACATATGGGAAGAAAAAAGTAGAACTCCTTATTAAAGCGTTTCCAATATCTGCAGCGTTTATTTTTCCGTCACTTCCTTAACCCGGTGGCCTGGTGGGTGGATGTTTTTTTCTCATTCGCTACCTGCGGGAAGGTCGGCGACTCGAGCGGCTTCATTTTATTTCATTTGTCTACTTTATTGCATTCTTGTTATGAAATAGTTTAGTTCATTCTATTCTGTAGGTTTCATGCATAATTTGCATCCTTCTCGGAACCTCGGGGGCCACAACAAATGCACGCGCTGGGACCGCTTGTACTGTACCCACTTGCAACAAGCAGGAAATTTTCTACATTCGTACAGTCTTTGGTGTGTTTTTGATATATTAGACCTCAAGGTGTAAAGATAGCTGCAGAAAAAGCTACGCCTCATCGTCTATCGCTTATTCCCGGATCCCAGGCGTAGCTTCAAGCAACCAGTGGAGAAAATTGGATTGATGACAGAATGTGCTCCGCAAAAATGCACCCCTCGCTACAAAAAAAAATGTTTGTGTGCCGCTCATCTCCCCTAAATGGTGCTACATAAAAGCTTACCCGCCGCTGCCTAGCCTTTCGCGAGCTGAGACAAGTGCCTATGCTCAATTGTTAACCCGTTACCACGTTCATAGGGGGTACTCCACCTCCCTCTACAGAAAGCCGGTTAGGAGCTCAGAGGCACAAAATCCAGAGCAGCCGCTTCGCTCCAGCCCCACTGTTCGTCTCTGTTCTAAAAACAATAACTAAGTGACGTATGCACCTATTGAGTATCAGGAACGTAAACTGACAGCGAAAAAAGCGCATGCTGCCTCCCACAAATCTACAAATGAATGACCACCATGTTCACCACCACCATGTTCACAGGCTGAGTATTAATCAGGGTCCTGTATAATCCGCATAAATGCATATAATTACATGGCAGTTACCGTGGCATTGCAGAGCTATGGGGTCAGGAGTTTTGATAATCTCAGGGACCCCTCTGCTTAACACGCGCTAACGAATGTTTGGAGGCAAATTCTACGAAAGAAATGGCACTGAGTCTGCGAAGGACTAAAAAGCGGTTCAGATTTCATATTCCAGTCATCCACGCGGCAGAACAGCAGCGGAGTGAGTCTAGAACACACACCGACGGCTGACCTCTGGGGCTGAGGTCCTTGAAAAGCAGTGCAGATAAACCACATGCATACAGGCCAAAGCAGTCTATTTGCGGTTTCTGTTGCGGTTCTTCATCCATCTGTTTGAGTTCGGATTGCCAGGCCCCAAGCCCACAGCAACTTTGGGAGGTGCTGCTGCTGCAGCTCTGCCAGAAGCTGTGAAGGACCGTACGTGCCAACTTTGTGCCTCGAGACAGTAATTCTGCAACAACAAACGTATTTTCAAAAGCATTCAACAAATATATCCTCCATATATGCTATATATATATATATACATATATGTAAGTATATATATATATATATATATATATATATATTCTGTATTCTTCCCTGTGTGGATATAAATACGTAGGGCACGCACATACACATGCAAATATACATATATATATATATATATGTATAAATATGCGTTGCTATTTACATGCATAACATACAGCGCAGATATAGGCGTATACTGCAGGTGCTCCTGTTTAGGTCCTGTTTATCTCCCTATCCAATCCGTTCTGTGTCAGATACGACTGCTTCTTCTCCTGAAGGGTCCTTATACGGGTTTAGGCTATAGCATTCATGTTGAAATACCGACTCACAGGAGAGAATGGGTTTTTAGACTCCACATCCTTTTTCCATAACTTCTCCTTGTGTCTCATCTCCCGATCTAACCCGCCCATCAACAGCTGATCGGCCGCAAGTATAATGGGTCGCTGACACAAATAAGACAGGAAGGCAGGGCAAGAGAGGACAAGCTCAACAACAACCATGCACGCATGCAAAAGGATAAAAATAAGCAAGCATTCACATACAGATAAGATGTACACAAGCTACGGGGACACGAAATGCAAGAGAATGGGTGTGCACGGAAACGCATGGTGCTTGCCTATTTCTTTCGTGCATTACGTGAAGCAAAATAAAACAAATTACTCTGCGGTAATGACACTAGAAAGATCACCACTGGATTTATGTTCACGTTTTTTGGTGCCGCTTTCCTCCATTTGTACTGTGCCTGCTTCCGCATTGGCACGTCTATCGGTCTATCTGTTTCTCTCTGCCTGAGGCTTATGCTTAGTATTTCTTCCCACTAAAATCAAGCGAAACGCACGCATATTCTTTCATCGTAACAGTCGGCAGAGAAATGCAGAAGCAAAACCTGAACAGCTTACCGAGTGCTTCCCTCCCTTATCCTTTGGAATCGAATATACCTGCCCCCTCTTTGAGATCTTCTTTCGCCCATCAAAAATTAATATCTTCCCCGTAGTTTGATCGAAATACAGCGGAGTCCTATCGAGAGTGTAGTGGCCACACTTAGAGCAAAACAAGAGTCTGGTTTTCCGTTCAATATGCCCACAGGCCCTGCACCGCCCCGCGCACTTCGAAACATAAGTTCAGCTATATCGGGAAGTGGCACTGATTTTTATTATGTTCAATGCGATTATACTGCGTCGTGCATTGAAAGCAAGAGAAAGCTGCAGGCGACACCGCAGTATCTAGTACATGGCTTGCAACAGAACGTACCGGCAGAGAAGCGCCCAGATCTTTACAGTGCGTATTCTTCTGCCGTCTACCGCGAGGACATTGAGTCCCATTTGCAGCAAAACGTTTTGCATTGAGAAATCTGTGGTCATGCACGAAACGAGGTCTTCTATTTCTTGCTTGTCTGCGCGCAGCTCCAAGCCGCTGAACGCATTAGCAAGCGTATTGTCTAATTCCTGAGTATTTGCCTCTTTGGGGTTATTTGATTCATTTTCTATTGCATTAGCATGATCGCAAGAGCTTTCGTCTGGAGCAGCAAGACCCAAGTGCTCCCTCAGCACCTCCTCGGTTACCCATCCCTCTTCCGCATCCATATCATCATCATCATCGTCTGTCTGTGCAGACTCGCTTTCTTGTTCCTCTTCTGGCTGATCTGTTGGTTTCAGTTCTTCCCCTTTTGCATCCTTTGCTATTTTAGAAGCAGCACTATTGTACTGCAGTGTCCACATGTGCTTTCCAGCCCCACCGTCTTCAAGTTTCTGCATAAGCTCGGTTTCGCTGAAGAACTCGAAGGCTGGGGGCTTTGCATTGAGGCGTTGTGTCTGTCCTGTAGCTCTTTGCAGCATGTATGTGAGTGCAACGAGTCCTAAATCTGTCTGAGAGAGAAAGGGAAGGTCTCCTGTCATATCTGCAAACCTCTCTGCCCAACTCCTGTCGGCCGCTGAGGGTTCAAGCGAATGCACCTCCAAAAATCGCGATTCAATCCGCTGGCGCGCCATGGCATCCCTAACTTCTTGTGCTGCTGCTGTTGTTGTAACGAAGGTGCATTTTCCCCGGTACCTGTCTAAGGCGTCTACTCGCATTAGCGCTCCTGCATCTAAAACTACCACCGGACGCTCCTTCGACGCAAGAGCGAACGCTGGTAAGGATGGAATTGCAGTCTTCTTCGCTTCAGCATCAACTGACGGTTGCTGCGGCGGGGGCTTCCCTCTGCCCGCATCCTCCGCAGACGGCCCCTTTGGGGGCCCTTTTGGCGCCCCGGCGGGGGGCCCCAAAAGAGGCTTTGAAAGAGACGATACTTCTGACGCCCTGGATACCCGTGCTGCCCAAGATATAGAAGCTGGTGGCAAGTTTTCACTTTCTTGAGTTTCAGAACTTGAGGAAGGAGGAGAAACATCAGGGTCCTCGTGCTGCTGCTGCTGCGAGGGGGTCATCGTCGGGGTTAACGACAGAAGACGAGCTGTTGCGCGATCTTCATGAAACTATTCATGCTCTAAACAGAAGGACGAACGTTAAAACAACCTAGCAGAAAGAATTGCCATAACCACTTCTACTGTTCTGTTGAGGAAACAACAATGGTGTGGGACGCATGCAAGAGGGGGGCCTCCGCAACCATCGAAGCCCCGCCTGAGGTGGCATTGAGGTTGACAAATAAACTGAAATAATGACTCGTAATTGTTTTTCTTTCATTTCTGTGGTAGTATTATTACTGAGTGCGGAAGTAGGAGTCGCAAGGCTGCGTTTCGGCGCCCCGCGTGCCCCTTCCGCTTCGGTATTCGCTCGTCTATCATCAAGGGGCGTCTTAGCATTCGCGTTCATTCTATGTGTATTTGATTTTCCCCTCCATTGCAATGGCAACGACCCCGCTGCAACCCTCCTTAGAAGGGAGGAAGGATGGTTCGGCTGGTGCTGCAGCTGGCCTGATGTCTATCTACACCACAGCATCGGCTACCTGTGACGGTCCTGCGCTACCTTCGTTTGTTCGTTTCAACGAATCCCACCTGCCATCTGCTTTCCCCCCTGTTTTTCTTGCGGCGCATGCGGCCTTTTGCCTTAAGGATGGGGAAGCTCCGCAAGTGCCTGATTATCTCGCGGCATGCAGTTCAGCTCCCTCAAGCAACGGCAACGCGTCATCAGCGTTGAAACCTTTAGAGTATTCATCTGTACACAAAAATGATGAGTCTGTCATTCCCTCCGAGTCAAATATTAACCAGAAAATCACCCCATGTTCACATTATCCGGCAACAAAACCGCTGCAACGCAAGGCGCTGCGCCGCACCGTTGACTTCCTTAGGCAGCAAAACTTTGATTTCAGCTCCTTGAACAGCAGCATCCTGATGGACTATGGCGTCACTAGGGAGGCTTCTGCAGCTTCCACACCCTCGAGTGGAACAAATGCAGCTGAAAGCAGAGAAAAAGAAGGCGAACAACGGCAACAACAAGCTGCAGCGAAAGCACCTCTCTCCTTGCCACTATGTAACAAAGGCGAATCCGATGCTCCGGGCGCAGCACAAAAAGACCCATCAGAACCATCTTCATCAAATTCTGTCGCAACTGATGCAGCAGCCGGAGCTGCGGATGCATCAGTTGCTGCTGCAACGCAGCAAAATTGCAGCAAGTTTGCACACCACGGTGCTGCGCAGGACCTCGGAAATCCTCTACTGGATTCAAGCGAAGACACCAACAGCGGCATTGCTGAAGCGCCTGCTGCTGTAGCTGCGAGGGAGGTTCTTTCAGAACCTTCCGCTTGTAAGAAGCGGAGGGGCCTGAACACGGCGGCCTTGCGGCACAAGAACTTAGAGCAGGTTACAAACGAGTGCGCAGCGAGCGGTGTGAGTGTTCGCATGGAAGCCTTGTTCTTCTTACTGTTTAATTTATTGTAAAGCACCTTGATACGTTCTACGTGTAGTGTAACTGTCATCATTGCTCACACGACCGCATTAGCTGAAATGCTTCCCTGTGCCCTTTCTTCTTGCTTGCTCTCTGAGTGTTTATTTCGGTTTCGGGCGTTGTTTGTTTTGTGCTTATGTTGGCGTCCTTGGCTTTTCCTGTCTTTGGATTATGCACAGGCTTTCTGCCTTTCGCAAGCAGCCTGCGGTGCATGCGACGTTGCAAACTGCACCAAAGACCACGACGTTGCAGCCTTCATGAAGGTATATAAAACTAAACCGCTAAATCCTACACCCTGATACATGCATAACCCCTGTCGGGCGGCGGAAATTCAATAGTATCTTTCTATGGCTGTTCCTGCGGCATGCAGGTTTTGTTCTTTGATTTCTGCTGTCTTTGTTCTTCTTTTGCGTTTGCACCGATAGGCAAGGCCTGAGGACTTAAAAGGAGAATGCATTTTCTTCTCTCGCTCCGGCCTTTGTCCATTTGGCTGCTGCTGTCGCTTCGCTGGCTCTCACGTTGATGCAAATGGTATGTCTTCTGAACTCATCGTAGGAGCAGGCGTGTTCACCTCTGCTTGGAGTTGCATTTGCACCTTCGGCTTTAACCCTTAGGGTTTAGGGCTGACGGTTTAGGGTTTATGGGTGAGGCATAGGGGCTTAGGGTCTCGTGTTTAGGTATTAGGGTTTGGGGTTTAGGGTTGTTGCACTTTCTCTCGGTTGCAGGGGTTAATCTGAACAGGGAAGGGAGGCAGGTTACTTTGTTGGATTTGCAAAAGTACAAGGAGGAGCATAAGTCAGATGAAATGAATATTATAACAACTCAATCTGTCTTACCTATGGCGACAAGACGCAAACGAAGCTGCAAAAGAAACAAACAAGCCGCCGTTACTACCGCCGCAACAGGAAACGAAAACAGCATGCAAGTGGCAAGCAATCATTCAAACCCCTCAGCCTCCTCTTCTTCTCCTCTCACCTCTCTAAACCCTTTGGAGTCTAAACCTCCTAAGGTCGAGACCGAAGCTGGGGAAGGGGGGCCGGCCCAGTCTGAAGCTCCTGCTGCCCCTGCTGCTGCTGCAGCTGCTGCCCCAGCAGGAGCTGCTGCTGCTGTAGCAACAGCACGTGGAGTCGGAGCAGTGGATATTTTGCCAGTAGATGATTTGAGCCGAGAGGAGAGGAGACGGCGGTTTACACAACAAATTCGAGGGAAGACATTTCTGGCCCCCCTAACAACTGTAGGGAATTTGCCTTTCCGAAGACTGTGCACGCGGCTGGGAGCTGATGTTACAGTGAGTAGCGCATGCATTCTTACATTACATGCAACCGTGCATGCATTCGCAGTTGCAAGCTTGCATGAAGTCATGTATGCATGCAACTGTGTATGCATAAGCTAATTCAGTACACTTACTGATGAGCGCATGAATGCATCTGTAGAGGCAGGCACCCGTAAAAAGTGCATGCATAGATGCCTTCGCAAGTGCATGCACTAATAAGAATGCGCATGAACTCCTTTGTAGTGCCTGAGCTCATGCATCTTCTATTGCAACCCAATGTTGTGCTACCGAGGGGAGAATATTCTGGTGTTGTTCCTTTATTGTGCAAATGAATCACAAGTCCCAAATTACATATGTGAATGTATACACATACAGTAAAAGCATTCTTATATATATATATTGTATATACATATTTATATATTTATATATTTATATATAATATAAATTTGCGGTTGGGTTTTTAGGTTAGTGAAATGGCAGTGGCGCAGTCTCTAGTGGAAGCGAAGGCCTCCGAACTTTGCTTGCTGCGGTACGTCCAACAGTTTGAGTTTTTAATGTCGTTTATTTTTACGCATGCAATTATTTAATATATTTGTTTTCCTTTTGTACTGCTGTCATCTAATTCTCTTTTTTGCTTGATGCATCCAGTTAACTAATGCTTCAAAATTTTGCACACTCGTGGGAATATTTTTCTACATAAGACGCATATAATATTTTTACCTCATTGTATAATATACTTATATGTACATATATCTAAGAGCGTTTTGATAAAAGGGAGAGATACATTTGTTTTGCGGTGCAGGCGGCATCGTGAGGAGAAAATATTCGGAATACAAATTGCTGCCGGGTTTCCAGATGTGGCTTTTGAGTAAGTTTTGTTTATTTGTGTTCCTTCTTGTTATCTGTTGCTGCTGTGTTTATCTGTTTGTTTTGTGTTTAGTTTTTTCACTAGTTGAATGGCGAGACAGTCAAGAAAATGGTTGAGTCTTCAGGGTTTAGGATTTAGTTTAGGGATTGTTTTCTGTAGGAACTGTGGCGTTATATGGTTAGGATTTTCTTTCTACGGTAAAGAAAAGAGGGCCTAGGCAACTGGGTTTTACCCCTTCTCCTTAATTGCTGCCATCAGATTCGGGAAGCTGATCAATGAAACAAATATTCAATGCGATTTCGTCGATCTTAACATCGCGTGCCCTCTTGACCAACTCCACCGAAAATTTAAAGGTGCGTTTTCGTATACAGTATATATATATATATATATATATATTTGGTGCTTAAATATATATGTTTGCCGCTTTATAAGAATATATATTATATATTTGCTTTTAAGGAGTATTCATCAGGACGGAGGGTAGGAGTAGGAGTCCGCAGTTCAGGGGTCAACAGTAACTTCAGCCGCATTTTGTTTCGGCTTGTCTCAATACATAATACTAATATTCCTACCGCAAATACTATATAAATACTATATATGCATATATATGTTTCCTTCTTGCTATGTATGACCTCGTATCTCTACTGGTAGCCACGGCTTCCTGCTGTTGCGCGCACCTCTGTACGCGTTTTCTTTTCGCTTTGTGTGCAGCCGGCTCAATAATGCTGGAAAAGCCAGCGGCAGTGGAGTCCGTCGTTAAGAGTTTAATGGACGCCTCGCCGAATCTTCCCGTTACTTTGAAAGTCAGAACTGCGCACTACGGCAAAAAACACCAACTACACAATGTAATCGGCAAGTAAGCAGCATATGCTAATAGTATATATATATATATATATATATATATATATGTATATATGTATATGCATGCGTATGCATTTATATGTGAATGTATATGTATATGCATATGTATATGCATACAAATGTGTCTATATATACATATGCATATATATATATATATATATATATGTACCTTACCCACGTGCATGTATGTATCCACATGTGTACATATATGTATATATATATATATATATATATGTGCGTGAGTCGATAGCGCGTACACATGCATCCGTGTATGCGTGATAGACTGCACAACGGTGTAGTTATTTAAAAATGCAAGCAAGACACGCATACATTTCACTTCCAACAGAGGGCATATCAATACCTGTTAGATAGATAAGACTTTCTGACTTTCTGTGTTTTCATTTGACGGAATCTAGCTAGATTCCAGAGAAATGCGCACATTTTGTTTTAAGTGTATTTCGTTTCTACACACGTTCTCGCCTCCTGAGGTGAGCGCATCGGTCCGGCAAATATTGAGATAATACCGATTGTTTCAATTTTTGTTTTATTTTTGCAAATCTACAGGCTTTCGCGTTGCGGTGTCAGTGCCATATTTGCTCACGGGCGAACTGCACAGCAACGCTACTCCAAGTCCGCTGATTGGGATTATCTTTCTTCTTGCAAACAGCACATGCCAGAAGACGTTCTGCTAATCGGTAGGCGTTCAAAGTGCATTGCTTTTTGTTTACTTATATTGTTGTTTATTATTGCAGCTGTGTATGTACATACTTTGATATATATATATATATATATATGTATCTACTATGTGCACGTGTATGCCTAAAGACATTCTGGCTGAGTGTCTTAGAAGGGAGGGTTTGAGGTTTTGCTGTTGTGACGTCGGGTTGTACAATGTTATATGCTATACATTATACAATATAGACTTTACACATAATAAATAATAGACATTTAATACAGTATAAAATATATATAAGTATATATGCTTAGATGAAGAAGTTGCACGACTTGAGTGGAAATGGATTGGCGCGTAAGCAGAGTGCTGTGCAGCACCTTTGCTTCTTCTCCCCGCACATTCTACTTAATAATGATTTTGCTAATCCAAATAAATTTCAGCATTAAATAGTAGAGCAGTCTATATACAAAATATGCTATGTTTTCAAGAAAACCATCCTCTGTTTCTTCTCAACTCAGGCTGTGGTGACATCCTCAGCAGTGCAGAATATGAATATCGGAAGGCTTCTGCTAACATGGACGCCTTAATGATAGGAAGAGGGGCCCTAATAAAGCCCTGGATCTTCACAGAAATAAAAGAAGAGAGAATTTGGGATATCTCTGCACCCGAGAGGTTTGAACTCTTAAGGGTACGCATAGCCAGCGCCCTTTCTGCCTCTTAATTTATTCTATTCTACACATTTTATTTTATGTGTTTGGGCGTGTCAGTGGGTTGTATAGTAGTATATTTGCGTCTATATCACTGTACAGCAATACGCATTATATGCATTTTACATATATTGTACTAGAGTCTCAGAAAATGAAACTTCCATGCCTTCCTGACGTGCGTATTACATTACATCTGTAGCATCATGTGGTGTATAGTGAAAGAGCAGAGGAAGAAAGGCGAGTGCGTATCAATCTTGAATCTTATGAAAACCTCTTTTAGGTAATATACTATTATGCGTTAAGGCACCCAAAAGATGGTGAATAAAAGAGTGTTTCTTCCGCAGGAGTTTGTGAACAACGGCCTTGAGCACTGGGGCAGCGACCGTCGGGGTGTAGCGACAACTCGGCGTTTTCTTCTCGAGTTGTTGTCTTTTACTCATCGTTATATTCCTCCTCCTTTTCTGGAGTTGCAGCCACAACTCATTCAGTGGCGCCCCAGTCCTTTTGTAGGCCGCTCGGACTTGGAAGTAAAACTGTCAAGCCCCAAAACACAGGTGCTTATCACGAGCATGCATGCGCATATATTCTTATTATTGTATAAATAATGATAGTATATATATATGCATCTGTTTCTATGTCTATATGTGCACATCTATATCTTTACGTAAACATATTTGTGAAGATAATACTAGTCGTATAAGAAACAATTGCGTTACATGTGGATAAGAAATTACATAGTTATACTTGAACTACGACGGGAGACCATCTTGTATATGCTGCATTTGAGCCCTTGCAATGCATGCGTTATGTGGCATTTGTACGTTTGCCTATTTTTGCTTTTATTTCTGACTTCCCGTCATTAGAGAAACCCAAGAGATTGTGTTTTAGGAGATAGCAGAGACAATTGACTGCATTTTGCCCTCAAAGGTGCGTCTCTTCTCTGTGTTGCAGGACTGGGTAGAAATATCAAATATGTTTTTAGGGCCTCCTCCAAAGGGTTTCACGTTTGTGCCTAAGCATGCATCGCATGCATATCATGTGGAACACTAACGCAGGAGACGAGAAGAAGAGAACAATCTGTAGTGTATAGACACCTAGACACGCTGCACAGAAAACTTGTGCATGCGTTCAAATGATGCTATGCAACTTTTCATTATCTCTTTTCTCTAAGAAAAACCCATTTCAGTTCTTTAACACAGTCAAGGTGCTGTACTGCCGGTAACAAGAACGCGAAAGCCCCTGGACCTGCATAAAATCCAATACCACGTTGAAAATGTACATACCTTAGTGTTTTGCTCCTCCCTTTTGCTCCAGGGTTTTGGTCTCCAAGGTAGCGACAGCTGCAGTACTTCTCCTGCTTTAAACAGAAGGCAAAATAAGAACTATTGTTTCAAGCTTCATGCATGGGCTGTCTATACAGCATTCTGCCCTTCACACTGCCCCTACTGACAGCGGACGAGTAAGGAAACTCCACTGTGGTTGCAGGGGCTACTTAGGACCCATAGCTGCAGCGCCTAGCAGTATATTGCTGAGTCGACTAAGTTCAACTGGAATGGGTTTCTGCTTTTATTACATTTATTTTTCTTTATATTCAGCATCTCGAAGAACTCCCAATGTAGGAGGGAGTTCTCGTGTGCGATGTCTGCTGGAAGAACACAGGTGTACGTACAGCTAGGGTGTTCTGTTTGCTATGTTTCACTATAAATACTTTTTATTATCACGTTTCAAAGACCTAAGATATGAGAGGCACGCAAATGACTGATTTGTGAGGCTGTTGCTTGCACATCGATGGAAGGGGTCCCTTTCGGTTGAAGCAGAGAACGGAGGGACCACTGATCTATTCCTATGAAACATCATTTATGCCTCGTTAAAGAACAATTTAAAGTGTGTGAGATGAAATAACTTTGGCTTTTGTCTACCTTGGAGTTTGCAGAGTATGGCGTATATTATTCACCTTGCGGTGACCACGTGCCATTGCGGCGGGGGAAAATGCGCAACCTCAGCCAATAAATCTGCAAATTGTGTAAAACAAGCAATATGAATGCCGTTTTTGTTTATATACACATTTTCTCTTAAATACTGGCAGTGCTGCACTCTCTACTGTCTTGAGAAGTGCAATGGTTCGGCCTGGGCCATTTCCGCGGACTCGGACGTTTGCATATTTTCTGCCTTGCCCAAGATCCTGAAACGCTTTAATACTAGGAGCAGTAACAGCTTCAATAATATACTGAAAATTAACATTAATATTAATATTTATTTAAATCTAACATTCATATTCATATTCAACTGCAACAGACTGCGCGCGTTTTGCCGCGTTGAGCGAGTGTTTGTGTTGGTCCATTCACTGGAACCGTACGCCGTAGTGGATGGGTTAATGACGGGCACAAACCAAAAATGTAGAGACTAAAAAACGGCTAAAAAACACAAAGAAAAAAGAGGGGGATATTTCACATTGTGTACTTTAGGGAGCCACGAAGCTCGTATATACGCCGCCGCTACTCGCAACAACGGATGGCGCAGACCTGGGCGGAAGGGCCTCTCTAGCTGTTTATAGCCATTGCAGTTCGTTCTGATGATGACTTATTTTATCGTCTAATTAAAACGAATGTAAATTGTTGTTGCTGAAATTTTATTTGGAGGTCTTTCGTTGGCATCCGCGGACTTTCTTGACTTTTTCCTGAGTCTTCTCTGAAGGCCACCGCGAGGTGTCATCAGACACCGCAACGTTATTCGCATGAAATATGACCGCAAGGGGGAGAGAAACCTGAGAGTTTTTGAATGCAAATACCGTAACAATGTACAAAAGAAGTTTATTTTGTGGTAAGAAGCTGAGGAATGTCAGGGTATTCTCTGAACCTGTTCTTGCCCGCCGCACTCTTCGCTTTTTCTTGCACGGAGAACCACCGTTGCCTGTATCAAGCCCCGATTTTCCTCTTGACAACTATAATCATGCCTTTGCACTTTATCACCTCACAAAAGTGCTTAATTTGTTTTTGTTGGCTCTTACAAACCGCTACATAGAGTGAAGGCCGTCGGAACTGGCTGCTGTTTGATGTTAGGGCCTAGGGTTTAGGGTTTAGATTCAGGTTTCACATTCTAGAAAACTCTGTTTTTCCTTCTATTGCCTGTGCAGGGCCACTTCTGGTGGCCCTCAGCCTCGCCTCCCCTTCTACAGAAGCTCAGGCCTTCGGGAAAGCTGGTGAGGAGCTGCAGACCGATGCCGCTGCATTCCAAAGGCATATCCATCCCTCTTACTGCTATCTACTAAGCATGAACCTCATTTTAAAGCGCTATGTGCCGAAAAAAGCCAATGTCTGTGACCTGTGTTAATTTTCGCTACACACTCGTCTAGGTATATGTTTAGTGCAAGAGGCAGTACGCCAATACTTGCAGGTTGTTGCAGCAGCAGCCGTGTTGGGTGTGGGTTTTATATGCGTTGCTGCATGCAGCCGTTCCTCCTCCTTTCCTTGTTTGTGCATGCGCTATTGCTGCAGGCTTTGCCGATGCACCCGTGGCATGGATGCAGGACGAGCCAGGGAGTTATCTTTCTGTCAATTCTTCAGCTGGCTCGATGCCGCTTGGGGGTACTTCGAGGTCTACCCGCTACACGAGAATCCCCTCTACAGGAAGCCTCAGTAGCATCAGCAGCAGCAGCAGCAGCGTCAGCAGCAGCAGCACCGGCGGAGGCTGGCGGGCCACTATTATCACCACTGGGTCGTATCCCTCTTACGGCCTCCCTGCAGGTCAGCTTCAGTGCAAGAAAGTGAAATGGCTGCGGGGAACAGCAGCAGCAGCTCCTACTGCTGTTGCAGCTGCTGCTGCTACCTCTGCAGCTGCCTCTGCAACAGCTGCTGCGGTTCACGGGCTCTATATTGTTTTTCGTTTTCTCTTTTTTTGCAGGTCTAACGGCGGCTCAAGCAGCTTCCATGGCTCAGCAGGGTGAGCGGTATTTAAACAGAGAGCAGAACTTGCTGCCTTCTCTGCTGCTGCTGTTGATGCGGCTGCTGCTGCTGCTGCTCGTGTTATTGCTGTTGATATTGCTGCGGGAATAACTGCTGCTAGTCAGAGCCACTCAGTGTTGCTGTTTTTGGCGTTGCTGCTGCTGCTGTTTCTGCTGCAGAGGCATTCTTGCAGAGCATGCAGCAGCAAGTAGCAATGAGTTCGCGACTTGCACTTGAGGCCCCAGCTCAGTACTGCGCAGGAGAAGGGGAGGAAACAGATTTCTGTCAAGTTATAAAAGAGTATGCAGCAGCCGTTCGCTCAATATCAGGTGCGTTATATTCTCTTCACAAGCAGGTGAAGTTAGAGCCTGCATCTTTTTCAAAATCTGCAGGATTTAGGGTTTAGGGTTTAGGTTCTGGCTTCAAGGGCGTGGGCGCTAGGGGGAGGGGTTGGGGGCTTTGGGCTTGTTCAAGATCTGCAAGGGCTAGGGTTTAGGGTTTAGGGGTTGCTCACCAGGGCCTGTTTAAATTAGGGTTTAGGGTTTAGGGTTTCTGCTGTGCAGCTGAGTTTGCTTTAAAGCTCCATGCATGTGTTACTTCTCTCCAGATCTTGAATGCGTGCCGAGGAGAGAAATAACAAAAAAAGAAAAGAAGAAAAAAGTAGCTCTGCTGGGAGAAACCACGCTGCAGCAAGATGCCCGTAAACCCTAGCCCCTAGACCCTAAAATCCTAAACCCTAAACCGTAGGCTCTCTGGCCTTTTTGTAGCGTTTGGTTTGAACTTCGTTCGTGTATACACTTACTAAGTACATCATCATGCCCGTCAGGGTGTCAAAGATGTATAGGATCTCTAAGATTTAGGCTTTAGGGTTTAGGGTTTAGGATAGATGAGCGCCGTACAGCGCCAAAGGTTAAACAACAGAAATACAACCATATGCAGCATGCAAGCAAACGCGTGCATCCATGCATGCATGTATGTACGTGTTTATTTGCTTGCATGCATGCTTCTCTCTGCAACATGCAGGGCCCCACAGTTTCGTTGAAGTGCCAACTCAAGAAGAAGTTAAGCAGAAAGAAGAAGCAGCAGCTGCGCTGTTTCGCGAGCAAGCAGAAGCTGCAAGACGAAGAGGAGAAGAAAGGCTAAGAGAAGGTGCGTCAATGTCTGGCATTAGGTGTTGGTATGTGGGGCTTTTAATGACTTTTTAGGGTTTTCCAAGCGCTATTTAGGGCTATTTAGGGATATGTAGGGGTTTTAAACCATTTTATAGGATTATTAGGGGCTATGCATGGCTATATGATTATGTTCTTCTAGGGTTTCTCAGGGTTAGCATGGGCTTCTTACAGTTATATACGGTTTTGGGGTTTAAGTTTTAGTATTATTGAGGATGATTCGGGTTTTAGGGTCTAGGGTTTAGTATTACCGAGAGTTGTTTAGGAATGTTTTTGTAACTTATTTAGGGTTTTGTAAAAGGGTTTTAACGCTTATTTAGAGTTTACTAAGCGTGGTTTAGGGGTATTGAGGGTTCAGGGTTTGCAGCGGGTTTGCGTAGGGTTTGCTCTCCTCAGCAGCTGTGCGTACACCTGGATAATGCTGTGCTGTGCTGCTTTAAGCAATGCAAAACAAAATAAAGCAACCAATGCCTTTTTCTCCTGTCTTTGCACTCAGCTGGACAAAGAGGAAATGTTCGAGAAATCGCGGAGGCAGCCCAAGCAGTCTATTTGGTTCAAGCTGTGCTGCAGTGTATGTCTTTATAAATATATATTCTATATTATAGTATATATTATATATATATTATATTAAACATATTTTATTTATACATTTTGTAAGTATATAAACATTTGTAAACTGATGGAAATATATGAAGACGTCTACATATGCTCGCCGATATATGTATAAATGTACATATATATATATATAATATATATAGCTGTGTGCATGTATATATATATATATATAATATGCCCTTTGTTACACCTTTAAAACCCTACCCAGCAAGTAGAGCTCACTAAAACCAGCTTATTGCATCCAATGAGTATTAAAAAATATAAATACTGCAAGAGACTTCAATGCCTTTCTTTGTGTTTGCTTTGTTTTCCTTTTCTTTTTTCTTACCTGTCTGCAGCTGCATACTACATGCAAGCCGGAAGTGCGTCGGCGTTTATCTTCTGCTTTCTCCTTCCCTTCTTACTTGCTGTTGAACTCCTTGCTTTTAGTGCTTAGGGTTCTAGGGTTTAGGGTTTAGGGTTTAGGGTTCAAGGGTTTAGGGTTTATGGTTCAAGGGTTTTGGGTGTGGGGTTTGGGGTATTAAAATCTTTTGTTTAGGTTTCTACGGCTTAGGGTTTAGGCTTCTGGGGTGTACGGTTTATGTTTCTAGGGTTTAGGGTTTAGGGTTTTGTATTTTGTTGTGCAGCATACGTGTTGATAACGAGTGCAAAGGTGTCTTTATATAATTTGAAGACGACGATACAGTCGAGCAGCGACCAATTAATAATATCTCTGTCTGATGTTTATACATTTCTTTTAAGTGGTTTATCGGGGCCTCTCTCTATAGCGTGGCATCTTCTAGATATTGTTATTGAAGAAATAGGAGAAGTACTTAAAAAAATAACTCGCGAAAGAGCAGATGCAGAAAGACATGCAGCAGAAGGGATGCAGCGCTTATCTGATATTGATGCTTTAGCAGAAGAAACAGCAAAAAGAAAAGCTACAATAACAGCAACCCTAGAAAAAACAACGCAAGAAATAGACGCACAAGTACGACAAGAAGTACAAACTTGGGTGTATGGACACCTCAGCCCCCAGCTCCAGCAAACCATCGTTGATAGAGTCCTTGCTGCAATTAACAGTGAGACATATATCTAACTCTGCTCCTGCTGGCGCTGCTCCTGCTGGTCCTGCTGCTGCTCCCGTTGCTGCTGCTGCTGCTGCTCCTGTTGTTGCTGCTGCTGCTGCAGTGTTTTTGTAACTGTGGCAGCAGCAGCAGTTTAACCCGAAAAGACAGCGTCTGAAAGGTACTCCTCCTGTGCTGCTGCTGCTGCTGCTGCTGCTGTCTCACTGCTGCTGCTGCTGTTGCTGCAGGCACAGCAGCAGGGTCTGTTCAAGTATCGACTGCTATCATTCAAGGGGGAGGAGGTGCTGCAGCTGCTGCTGCTCCTCCTCCACACCCAGGATATGTAATGAGGTTTGGAGTTAGTGAAGGGGCTCCTGCAGGTGCAGCAGCAGCACCACCAACCCCACCAGGTGCAGCAGCAGCAGCAGCAGCAGCACCTGAAGCAGCTGCTGCTCCTCCTGGAGCTGCTGCTGGTCTCTATCCTCGCGTTCAGGTTATATATGAAGGGGGTGCACCTGCTGCTGCTGCAGCACGTGCTGCTGTCTTTCAAGGATTAGAAGAAGCAGAGACAGCTGCAACAAAGAAAGAGACAGAGGGGATATTAGACTTAGGAAGAAGACTCGCCAGAGGCAGAAGCGGAACTACTTTTCATTCTGCTACTGCAGTATGTCGCACTTCACTTGTTTATTTATTTGTTTATTTGTTTATTTATTTATTTATTTGTTTGTTTGTTTGGTTGGTTGGTTGTTTATTTGTTTATTCATTTGTTTGCTTTTTGGATTGTCCCTTTTATTTATTTATTTATTTATTTGTTTGTTTATTTGTTTATTTGTTTATTTATTTATTTGTTTGTTTATTAATTCGTTATTTGATTGTTGTTTTTTGTAGTGGTTTTGTTATTTTGTGCTGTTGTTTGTTTATTTATTTGTTTGAAGAATAAGAAAGAAAGAAAGAAGAATAAGAAAATGAATTGTTTATTTATTGTTTATGTTTTGTTTAGGACTACGTTTTATCTTCTCGGGGGACGGAAGGAGATTTATGCAAAGTCGAAATAAATCTTTTATCAGCAACACCAGATGAAAGACAAAGAGGTGTATATACAGCTGACTTGGGATCTAGAGCAGCAGCAGCAGCAAATAGAATGATGCTGCATCACACAGAGGCAAAAACTTTAGAGAAGCCCTTTGCTTTCTTCGCAACCCCAGAAGACGTCGAAAGACATGTTAAAAATATCTGTAAGCAATATTATACTATATTGTATATTATATTATCTAATGTTATATTTAATATATAATATTGTATTGTATATATATAAGGTCTAATATAATATTATATAGTATAATGTAATGTGGTGTAATATAAAATACATACATATATTTTTTTTTAACGTTTATATATTATTTTTGATCATATTATTTGCACATATTTGTAATGAATAGATTACTCCATAACAAATACGTAGATTATATATATATATACATATATTAATTTTGATGCATTTGTATTTGTTTAGGGGAAGTGAAGAAGAGAGTGTTGATGAGCGAATTGAGTGCTGCGCCTTCTTTCTATACTTTGACGAGCACCGGGTGTTATTCTACTTCTGAAGATTTAAAACGAATATTTTATAGTAATTGGAGGGATAGAAACCTCTTTAAAGCAATAGCAAGCGATCCAGCTCTCAGTGAAAGACTCAGAAAGAGAGTACAAATACTAGCCTCCCAAGGTAAACCCTAATAAACCCTAGTAAACCCTAAACCCTAAACCCTTCTCTGTGGCAGCGAGAATGAATACTACCCTAAGACTGCTGCTCCGCTTTCATAGCCCTGATGTATTCTCATCACGCATACAGAGGTCTAGGGTTTAGGGTCTAGAGGCTAGGGTTTAGGGTTTAGGGTTTGAGGTGTATGTGCAGGTATTCTGCCCGTTATGGATACGGAAATTGATAAAAAAGTCGGCAGTCAGATCGCGCAAACACTCACTTCGTATTTACACCATGGTGAGTTAATAATTATTTATTTATTTATTTATTTTGTTTATTATAAGTTCTTTATTTAATTTGTTTGTTTATTTATATTGTCTGTTTCAATTCAATTCAATGCTTTAACGATATATTTTGCTGCATTTCTTTCGTTTCATATTTTTGCTTGCAAAATAAAAATGAGTTTCTTAATTATCATCATAAAATAATGTTTTTAAACATTAGTTCCCGGTTTACTATATTATTCGTAGAGCGTATTCGGTATAATAATATTATTAATATTATTATTCTTGTTGTTGTTGGTGCTATTATCATTATTTACAGTATTATACGACTAGCGTCTTTTCTATGTTTTTTTCTGCATGCAGAGAGGCCTCAAGCGAAAGGAATACTGCCTAGAAAGAAAGGTAATTCATTTATTTGTTTTTATTTATTTATTTATTTAGTTTTTCTTTTGTTTGTTTACTTGTCTGTTTATTTAATTATTTGTCTGTTTGTTTTGTTTATTTGCTATTTCGCTTGTTCTCTTCTTGCATTTCTGGAAGCATATTCATATATATATATATATATATGTATGCATATATATATATATATAAATATATATATATATGCATGTATATATATATATATATATATATATGATTAGACAACACCTTCTTTTAAAAAGAAATAATAATAAATATTTTATTGTTCGTTTAAATGAGTACATAATTAATCTTTTTATTTAGATGAATAAATAACTAAACTAAACTTTATTTGAATAAATATACAATTAATCTTTTTATTTAAATGAATGTTTAGGAGGAGAAATAACGTTTGGGTTTCTTGAAGTCTGCGACAGCCGCTGTTATAAACAACCCGAGTCAAAGAAAGGAGATGGTGAAATATGAAAAGAATTTAAATTAATCATTTTTATTTTAATTAATTTTAAATATGCATTCATTTGTTTATATATATATATATATTTATATATACATATTTACTTATATACTTATTTATTTATATGTGCCTTTATAATAATGAGATTAAATGCATGCATATAATATCTATGGATAATGCATCTCCTTTATTATTAATGCACTCTTTATTATTATTTTACTACTTTTTTAATTATTACTGTTAGTATTATTTTTTTATTATTTTTATTACGCATCGCATATTACGTCTGCACTTCAATAATTTTAATATTTAAAGGCTGACGATGCTGTGATTATAAAAAAAGAAAATAAAGAAAAATAAGTGAAGATCAATAATAAACAATTTGTTTCTTGTCGTTATCATCTTTAAAATAACATTTCTCTTTTTTGTGTACTTGCACGAGATAAACAATCAGAATAGAAAAACAAATATATAAATTATAATATAGAGAGATATATAAATCAATAGGCAGACAAGCAAAGAAAAACCCTTTATTTATTGTTTATTGTTTGTATTCTTTTGTTTTTGTTTATTTCTGCTACAGTGCTTCAGAGTTTTGTTTTTTCTGCTGACTTTCCTCTTATGAAGGCACATGCAAATTTAAAAAAACAAACAATGTTCGGTCTTCTTTACTTTGGATTAATGCCTTCCAGTATTCAACTTCCACAGGTAATATAACAGAATAATATTATATAAGAGCATGTAGTTAGAGTGTACATATGTATTATATACGTATGATATATATATATATATATATATATATATGCATACATATGTATATGTACGTGTATGCATACATACATACAT